ATAAATTTGGTCAGGATTAAGACGACCAAAATACGGAGCAATTAAACACCCACTAAGCCAGACACCGATATTGTTTACAAGATGGAAGTCATCCTCCACGACTGAAATGTGGAATGACGCATACGAGTTAAATTTTGTCTTTAACCTGGTGCAGGTAAGCGAGTCTTCTATATCTGCGGAAGTGACGTCCGGGGAGAAACGAGAGACGAACAGCGACTTCATTCTCACCCTTTTTGCTATGACAGCCAGCGAAGAAGAGCTCCTCACTCCAATCATTATGGGCCTCACTTTCTTGGAAGAGTTAGCCGAAGAATTGGCCGACTCAGGAAGTTCAACCCTCCTATTGGTGGGGGCTTCTTTCCCAGACAATGCCTTCTTCTTTTTGCCGACGACTGTCACAAATCCATCACCGGAAGTAACAGGAACAGCAACATCTGCATTCTTCCCGGCATTGGACTTAACAGAAACGGTGCTGATGTCAGTAACACCAGCCGACACAAAATGATGCAAACGGGCGGCAGCCACTTCACTATTGGACTTTGCTGCTGGGGGCAATGACCTAACAGATGTAGGAACTAGGGAGGTTGTACCCCCACAAGTAATTTTGTTAAGATGAAATTTTAGATGGTCATTGTCCTTCCGAAGTTGCTGAACATCTTCAGAAAGCTTTAGGACCATCTGGACCAGATTTTCAACCAAATTATGGGTGCTAACACCATTCAGCCGAACCGTCTCCAGTTGTACACTGAGCGATTCAGGGTCCTTAAATGCTGGCAAGATGAGCTCCCTGTCGGGAGATACAATCTTCAAAGGAAGATCCGATGTGGAGGCCGATCTGGTTGCACGAACAGGAGTGTTATCATCCCTGGATGCACGAGACCTGATAACTAAACATTAATAACATCAAAGTTGAGCAAACAATTGAATATTCTGGAGAGCATCCTCCTCTGACTTAGATGAGTTCTTATATTTGCATGTGGGATTAATGACAAACCATGCGCTAATAGGTTCTGTTTCATTATTGTTAGTTTCTTGTTCTCTTTGTACTCATTTCCTTCATAAGTGCTAAATTGTAATGTGTCTCTTTCTGTACATATTTTGTGTAAAGTGCAGAACAATGCCAATGTACTGTATTCTTATCTCTTATCATATCAGCAAAATGTAAAATGAAATTGTAGAATTCTTACTCAGACTAGTGTACAATAGTAATTATGAAAGTAAATTAAATTGGACGGGAGTTGTGGTAAAGCTGGAGGCTTTCCTAGCATCTGAAACACCTTCATGCCAGCCCCATGCACATAAGCAAAATGGTAGATCCTCACTCACATTCACGGTTGAAGCAACATCTACAGTTCAGATTTGATAGGGTTAGTGTTATTTAATTTAATCAATAACAACAATAAATATGACAGTTTAGTTCAGATGATATGTAGCCAAAAAGCAAAATACTGAAACTGCATCTCATTACCACAATAAGAATGCAAGATATATCATATTTTATCCCCTCTGTGCTAGGTATTTATTTGTTAATTTGTTTCTTTCAGCTTAGAGTCATACACCGAGACCTAAAACCAGAAAATATATTGCTAGATCTTCAAGGCTGCATTGCTGTTGCAGATTATGGCTCATGCAAACAGTTTGTCGGCTCTAAAGAGGTAAATATTATATCCACCTTATCTTTTGTTCAGTGTGCATACAAGGACACATAGACTATAAATGTAAGCGCTATGTGGATTGCTGTCCATCAGGCAGTGCCCTTTATTTGAGGGAAGTCAAAGTATGAGACCTAGGCTTCAGGTGCCTGAAATTTGACCACACATTTTCACAGTTTTGGTTTAGTTAGTGTAACTAAAAGATGTCACAAACCCTGTGAATTTGAGGAGGTAATATTAACACAGTTAAGGATATTACTTACAATGGGTGGGACATGTAGGAAGAGAATAAATGCTGTAAAATATTGATAGGAAAATCCCTTTGAAAATGGCATCTTTAGAAGTTATTAAGGAAAAGATGCATAGCATTAAGAGGGATGTTACAGAAATGCATTCTGATGGTAGGAGGTGAATGGAAGTAGCTCAGGACTTGGTCCAATTGTGATTTCCACTTTTAGACATAATCATTTTTCTTTTCTGTTACCAGACACTTTCTAGTTCTTTTGTGTCTGAGATTCCTGTCACATTACTCAAAGTGTTGTTTCCATCATCAGGGTGATCGTGAGTATACACAGTGTGGCACAAGCTTTTATATGGTGCCAGAGATGATCGTCGGCAAAGGCTACAGCTATGTAAGTTTCTTGTCCATTAACAATATGATAATTAGCTCTTAGTTTTATGTATACGTGACAGGAGACCGAACCATTCTTCTGAATGTGGTGCAGTCAGCTGCCGGCCATCTGACATGATTATTATTATTTATTTACTGCAGTTGGGTTTGCACCTGGTGGCAGTGGTCCTTACACTACATAATTACAACAAAATACATACAATATAAACAAGTACACTGCATAGAACACCCTACACACATAACTAGACATCCACCACTACAAAAACATCCACACCTTACATGGACACACAATACAAAAACACACACACATTTCAAAAACACACATCCATTAAGTAATCACAATACTTTAGAGTAACCTCAAATATAAAGTCAGACCTCAGTACATGATACTTTTATCCCAAAGAACTAAAGTCACTTCATCACTTCGAGGCTAAGACACTTCACTTCACATATATATTTGTCATATAATGGAATTTGAAAGCCAAGTACTAGCCAGGCACTGAAATTTGAGATAAGTGTTGTTTAGACTTTGTTTCTTATGTGACTCAGCTTCAAAGTAGCTTGAAGTGTCTAATTATGTCACAGTACAGCCAAAAACAGAAAGAATAATGCAATAGCTGTCACAAACTTCATGCTTCAAGGCCATGGAAATACTTAATATCCCTTACCACACAGCTCCATGCTCACCAACTAAATGGCGTGGTAATGAGAACTAAATGAGTTTGAATAGTTTAATTGATCAAATTTCTATGACCTACATTTCACATGCTCGATGAGGGCGCTGTGAGTGGCCTGACAGATAACGTAAATGTATTCACTATAAGGAAGCGGAGGGTGACTGTAGCCAATTTTTCTACCAAGTTCTGGAAAAGTGGAAGCCACTGTTGGCACATGCACAGCATCCTGTTGTACCCCCAAAAGAATCCTTTAAGGGATGGAAGGTCATGCATACAACATGGCCAAGTCCTAGGCCTACCCTTGCCAATAAAATTCTCTGAAGACTTGCGATTTAGGACGTCAGTCAGTTCCTTGTGAAAATATGGAGGAATTCTGTCTTGCTGAAACAGCATGTCAACAGGACACTCTTCTTCCAAAATAGGCATGAGGAATTTCACTGTGTAAGATGCTATTTTAACAACTGTGTGTCTAGTGCATCTTGTGCAAAGATATGGAAAATAAAGCAGCACGAGTTATAAACTTGTTCTTATAACCTTCTCAAATGAATTTATTTCATATTCTCCTGCCTCTCGGTTCACAAGCATTAAAATGGCATACATTTCATGTGCACACTGTGTATAAGCAGATCTTGAACTGAAATAAAGAGAATATTTGCGAAAACTTGTTGCAGTGAACAGTATTGATGGAGTCACAGCAGTTCAGAAGATATGAAACAAATGTAGTACATCTGTAGTTGCTTTCTTCACAAAACAATAGAAAAGTGCTCCTATTTGCTTTGCCATGTTTGTCTGTCCACTTGTGTAGCATTTTGAGAATCAATGAACGGGTTTTAATGGCATTTGATAATTTTCCTGACTTGACAGCTGATGTCATTTATGTAAAATAAATGATAGTATAGCTGTATAATGTCAGTTGTAAACAGTGTTTAATAAAGTGTTTTTACAATGTTCTGACTGAGCACTCCAAGAAAACCTTACGAAAATGCACCTAGGAATGTTCCATATTAACCTGGAGGTAAGAAATAAACAACCAGTTCATTCTAACCACAAATTTTTAATTTATGGAAAATGTATAAGTGTGTGATGAAATGAAAATGTCTGATTGTAGCTATTACATGTAATTTTAATTGTTGCAGGAAGTGGACTGGTGGAGTATTGGAGTTATTTCGTTTGAAATGATTGTCGGTGAGAAGCCCTTTCAGTATGATAAACATATAAATGATGAAGAACTCTGTTGGTAAGTATTTTTCATGTGAAATGAGATCTGATGTATGTGTTCCCTGTGAACATAATTTTCCTTTGAACACATTTCTGTAAAAATTAGTTCACAGTTAACAGATGACTGTCTGTGTTCACGGGAGTAAAGTAGGCATACGTGCTTGAAACCTTTGGCAGAGGAACAAAATGCATTTGCAAACATGACCACAATCTTTAACAAAGCAAGGTTGTGCTGGACAGCAACTGAATGTAAGGAACAGAGAAGGGATGGTTCCAGAAGCTGAAAGCATACTACGTTTGACATTGACCATCTTCCTTATCTCATGCATGACCTACGTCAAGAGATTTCCATGCAAATCAGACATTGACCAGGCCACTTATGGCAACTTTGAGAAGCATTATAACATTAATCATGAATGCAAGTTTATGAAGTACATTTTTTATGACAAATATAAGAATTAACCTTTCTCTTGCAGCAAAATATTGAATCTCGTACCGGGCATCCCATCGTGGTTCTCGGACTATGAAGTTAATTTTATGGAAAACTGGTTTGATCCAAAACTTGGTCTGGATGTGTTGGTGAGGAGATAACTTCCTGCCTTCCACCAGGAATCTAAAACTCAGTTATCCATTCCATAGTAATGTTAGCAACTGAACTATGCAAGTGGAAATAACAGTATACAAAACAGTTGCAAACACAAGTTGATTTGTAATGAAATATTGTTCCTTGTACAGCAGTAACATTGGGAAAGGGCATGATCTTCCAAATGAAGTTGTGACAACTCTGCAGTTCCTGGAGAGTTTTGCAAACTACTCAGGAATTTATAGTTAATTCAACAACGCTTTTTCAGTAGCTCAGTTTATGTAGCGTCGAATGAGAGGGCGACGGGGAATAATGAACTGGAAAGGATGTGGTAGTATGCAAGACGGTACAACAGATACATGTTATTTGTTATTTATAAACCAAGATCAGTATGCTTTGTCATTATATCAGTCACAACTAATGAAAATAGATACTTAAAAATTAGTCTAGTTTACTTGGAAGAAGAGTGTAGTTTGAGACGTTTGGTCCACTTAAAATTTTGGGTAAATATGCTTTTTAAAGCAGAATTTAATCAATTATCTGTGCGTAGCTCAAAAACACGAAAAATAAACTGAGTACGTTTTCCACCTAAGATCTTTCTTACCATTAATTTGAAAATGATTGAATAGTGTTAGGTTACGGTGACCATACGAGTTAGAAAAATGAACTCTTGGTAATTGTCATTCTAGTGACAATCATCATCGTCATTAAAAGAAGTTTTACTGTGATTGCCATGGTTTGTCAGTAGCTATCGGCATTGACTTATCAGCTTTGAAGGATGAGTAGAGACATACAGTTAAATTACTGGGTGTTTAGGCTTTCATAAGTTAGACGTCCTCCACACAACCCACTGGGCAAGGTAAGAAATCAACATCAATACAACAAATGTGGGTAATATACTAAGGTCTGCAGTGACTTTTATTTCTTCAAATGTCTGACTTGTACCAATTTTAATTTTAATCATGTTTTAAAATAGTTTTACATCCAATAACCGCATTGTTTCATAGCAATTGGGAATACTCCGATCTGTACACAAGTTATAACTGGATTTTTAACTCTATTTTTCTATGCAGTTTTAGAAGTATTCTGGTAGTGTAACATTTTGTGCTACTCTTTGATTGACCAATGAAGATGACCCCCTTTGGTGTCGAAACGCGTTTGGCCTATAAATATACTACCTTTCACTACTAACAGTTGTTGGGCATATAATTTGACACTAATGTAAGATATTTTCGTGGAATTTGTGTGGAGAGACTGAGGTAATCCATAGAAACCCATATTCAGGATAACGAGTTTTCAGGCAGCGATTTGTACCAGGGACCTCCAGAATAAGAAACAGGATTGCTGTTTCTTCGATTGCGATGTTCAGTTTATGTTATGGAATGAGAAACTTTATCATCATTTTGTACCTTATTTTGAATTAGTCCAGTCTGTCAAAAACAAGAGTTCTTATTTGTAGGTAACTGCATATGTAGTGACAATGGGTTGAGCTTAATGGTTTGGGAAACCGGTTTAGGTTAACAGGTAATCAGTTGTGGGCTTAAAATTGATCACAGAAATGTACATACATCGCTTACAAATTTCTATTAAAGTGAATCTTTTGTAATGCAGCAGAATTTTCAAGATCATTTAGAAGTTCATGTCTTGTCATACCATGTCATAATAGTGTAGGTGCAAAATGCTGTGCTTTAGGTTCAGTGAAAGACGTGAAATTATCTGTACTTCCAATTACTGGTAACACCTGAAAACCTAGGAGTTTGTACGCCCAGTTTTCAGAGCTGTAAGCAGTCATTCCAGTCCAGCCCTATATTGTGCCACCTCGCCTCCCTCAATGGTTCTGTGCCTAATAATGAATTTTTAAATATTTATCATGCCCAAATATGACTTTTAATTATTCATTGTCAGGACTTTTCCATCGTCTGTTCTTTAAAATCACGACGTTTCGGAGGCTGGTTCTGTCTCCGTCTTCAGGAGAGAGGTACCCATTCAGTTGGGTCCCATAGATAGAGCTAGACTCTGTCACTGGACCAAATATGAGTGTTAGTTTACTTTCGTGTAGGAAAGAAGGTAAATTTGCCAAAACATTATTGAAGTGTTAGTGTCCGTCACAATAATTATGAAGAAGTTGATAAATAAGACTGATATTTGATCGGAAACACTCCTGGAATTTGGAACAGAGCATGAGGCAATCGTCATCAGGCAGACAAGCATTTCTTCCCGCTTGTCTGTTGTATGTTTTGATTCCTCTCACGAAAATGTATACTAATGTAAGATTTCCATCTCACCATTTGTGCTTGGAGTTAGTCCTTGGAATATTTGCGCTGATAAATATCAACGGCACGTCACAAATTGAAGGCTCCTATACATAATGCCAAAAATTTCACGTGTCTCTTACTCAAAAGCCGATGTGGTTTCAAACATTTAAGAAACAGTAACATCATTCAGAAATGAAACACCCTCGGATGGGGGACTTAATTTTTTTAATTTGTGGAAGATGTGACAACTCCCAGTATAGCCAATACCAGCATTTTACTGTCAAATTTTCTGTGGTTGTCAATCTGGATTATTAACGTTGGCGTACCTGACTTATATGAGTATCTGTGTGAATGTATATTATCAAAGGCGGCAAAATGTGTTTGCGAGGTTTTTTAATATATGGCAGATTTAAAAGACCTTGTAAATATTAACTAGTTTTCGAAAATGTGATTTAATGTGTTACTATTACAACATTGTGTATGTTATAATCACCAATTACATGCATTGATTAAGTTTAATTGATGTCTGTGCTTGGTCAATATATGTGACAGCGTTTGTGTAGATTGATGTTTCTAATACAAGAGATCATGTGTACCAGAAGAACAACAATTTAAAATATCGTATCAAGTATGTTTCGTATTGTAGTGACTACCTCTGTTCTGATCATATTAAACAAACCACTAAGTGTGGTCAAATTTTATAATTTGCGTTGCTTTTTATATATATATATATATATATATATAGGGGTTTGCTGTACTTTATTCAAGAAAACGATTTATCAAGATGAGTCATTACTCTCCGTCCTATAGACAGTCTGAGGTCCTCACATCCTCACCACTACGCAGAAAATCCATGTTAAACCTTTCCAACAGTGATGCAAGTCTTAGACAGGTAAGGTGTAAAATAAATGTGTGATAGATGGTCAGCATCCATGTTGCACTTCAACTGAAGATAATTTCAAGAATGTAGTTGGATAATTGTATAGTATCCTTTGAGGGTGTATTCACAGTGAATTTGCTTTTGACTTCTCCATGTATGAGTGCATGTAGCAACTTTAAATCTGCTGAAGGGATTTTTACAAAATTTCTTATTGAAGAATCCTACCAAAATTTTCCAACACCTTCCAGTTTTGGTTAAAACTGGACAAAAGTAAAGGACACCTTATGTGAAGTCTGCGTGTTTTTCTGCATGGGGAAGTTGCCATGACACTGTGCCAGGAATCCTGAACAAAATAGGGCCCAGACACCCCACTTATGCAAAGATCATTGATCCCAGACAATTGTGATGTAATGATGTCACTGATACCATTGCAAAAGGTCAAAGTTTGTTTTGGCAGAAAAAAACAGCCTCCCATAACTACTTGCTCTGCTTTTAAGTAATTCTGTACAGGTTAAAAATACAGAGGCAGTGACAGAACAAATGTTATGTTGTAATGAAGATAATCCATCCAGTAAATTCTAAATCGTTATGATTCCTGTGGGTTACAGTGATTTTAGGTAATGACCATGGTCACTGGTTCTGTTCGGTTGCTATCTGTCTCTGTGGCCCAACTAGGTTGCAAGAAGAGGGGCAAGGAATAGAAAGTTGAGGAAGTTGGAACAGTGATGTGAAATATTTTATTTTTTACCTCAAGAATTAGGGTTTCATATCGCTCCAATACCTAACCATTTACTGGCTACAGCATGTAAACAGTAGAATATAAACTAAAGACACTTGAGATAGCAGGTAACTAGTGGCCAAGATGAATTTTAAATAACAATAATTAAATTATCATTATCTTTACTGATTTTGTGATGTTATGGTTACTCCCTGCCTGCCTGTAACTGCTTGTTTGTGGAGTGTTACCATTTGCATTTCAGAGAGTTGTCTGTATATAGTTGGTGGAAACAAAATGACATGGCAGTGTATCAGACTGGATCATAATGCTTAATGTTACGTTTGTATTGGCATAGATGGAGGGAAGCATAGAGTAGCACTGTATGAGGGTTTGTATGTAATCAAAAAATAAATAAAAATCTAACCAAACTGAATGCTTTAAAGTTGCTTGTTCTTGGGTTTAAGTTACACATTCTTGTGTTAGTTTACTTTGAACCAAGTGACAAAGTAATACTTAACAATAATTGTTACATATATTTGTCATTGTCAAGGGTGAACACAAGAGTGAACTATGTGGAAGTGGTTAGCATGTAATTCTTTTATTATGTTCAAAGAATGACGATGATGCAGAACGTATTGAACGACGGCGCAGTGCTCAGATTGAGATGTTTCGACGTGATGCCTCCACTTCTGGATCAAGTAGACAAAAATCGATAGGAGGGATGATTGCTGGGCTTTCAGCAGCACAGTTGGCTGAACATTATGCCTGTTGTATTAAGCTCTCTGCTGAGAATGTAAGTCTGTTGTTATGGTGAAATAAATATGTATTTTTTATGCAGTATGTTTCATGATGGTGTTGACAGTATCATGATGGGTCCACTGGTAGGCTCTTGTGAACACAGTATTGAACCTTACAGATTCTTTAAATGATGCAGAGTTTCTTAACTAGGTGAGAACTACTAGCTCTTTGACGAGAATTCTGCTCCATGGAGTTGATTAAGCTGAGTCCAAAATATTCTTCAGAATTAGATTTTAAGTTATTTAATTTTCTGTAGTATCTGTTACAGTTAGAAAAATTTAACAGATTAACATATTTTAGAACCAAATAGTACATAAGAGTGATGACAAATCAAGTTTTAAAGACTGTTATTATTGTTATTATTATTGAGTTGTTGTTGAAATTTTTAGAAGAAATGCAGTTTTAATAAATGTAAATAAGTTTGAACAATTTCCAAGGTGTAATGAAGAAACAGCAACTGTGTTTGATGAGGTGATAAAACAAACTGAACAAAATCTCACTTTACTGCCACCCTTAAATGTGTAGAAGAACAATTGAAAGCAGAATATTACATTACCCTTTAACTCACTATCACATTATTGTTTTATGACACATTAGTTGAGAAATGTGAGAATGGCAAGACATTGCTCCAGGCTTTATTATATCTAGTGTTTTTTGTCATTCAACTTTGTGCTTATCATTTCTGTGATATGACTGTTTCAGAAAATCAGTACAAAAAATGCCTTTAGCCTGCAGCTGATTGACTACATGACACTCATGCTGAAGAAACGTGATTCCAAAATGGATGATTTCCAGGTAGAACATCAAGTTTGTTAGCACATTCTTCATGCATTTAGAACAGTTTCAGAGCAATTAGTATTGGTTTTGTGATAAACTTATCTGTGAGATGTCTTCTATAGACAACTAAAATGTTTATATAGATGTCAAAACTCTTGTGAGTTATCCTTAGCCTGTATTTTGACATTTTATTTTATTTAAAATCTTCTCTATTCTGTATCCTATCATCATCCCACATATATGTGCTGTCCACATCTTTCATTTTATGATTGTTACATTTTCCATGAACCCCGTTTTCTGACTTGCTTTTGTATCCACACATTTGTCTAAAGTGATGCATAAATGAAAATCTTTATATACTGTAACTACTATTTGGAAACTTAGATATGCAAGTAATATGCAGCAGAATTGGCATTCCTTTGCATTAAAACTGATACAGAAAAGTTCCCCAGTTTCACAGAAATCCCTTGTGTAAAGTATGTTGGAAATAATTGTTTCAGACGTAAAAGACAATAATAGTGCTTTGTAATGGGATGTAGCCATACTTTTTATTATGTTTCAGGATAGTTTATTCTTTGTTATCCAATTATACTCTTTGTCATTGCATACTGAATTTAGATGTCCTGAATAGAATCTTTTTTATGACTTCTCTTATTTGGTTGCTTCCTGTCACAGTGTTGTATTATTCAGAGTAGTCATTCATTTGATGCTTTGCAAATTACTGTATGCAAATGATAAATTGTTGTTAGATATACCAAGAGCCTTCGCTGATATTACAAAATGGTGTCAAATCCATAGAAGTTGATACTGCCAGGCTTCAGAACGTAAACTGAATCTCACAGTGTAGTGATCGGCACTCCTGGTTTTTGTTTGGAAAATCCTGAGTTTCATTCTCGGCTTGGAGGACAGCTATCCTGTCTAAGGGTTCTTTGTGTTTTTATCAGTCTCTCAAGGCAAATGCTGGGAAAACATCATGCAATATATGATGATGTCTGCCTTCCTCATTCATCCCAATAAGTCTTATACACTAACCCTTTCTTTTTGGCATTATATAACCAACCAGCCAAGAAATGTTACAAACTTAAATTTACTGTTGGCAGGTGGCAAGTTGCACCTTAGATGCAAGCACCAAGATATATGCATGTCGAGTCGACTGTGTGCATAGGGATGTTCTCAAAATGGCAGCAGATCTGGCCACGGGACATCGCAAGAAACAAGCCGTTTCCGTAGGGACAGAAGAGGGAGAGGGAGAAGAGGAGAGAAGTGGTACTGAGGGGAATGATGAACTAATTTATACGAAGAAGAAAACGCGCAAGGTAAATGTGACATTCAAGTAACTTTGTTGTTTTCTGCCACTGTTCTAAAGTTGTGGATAATAGAATATTTTCTCATCTTAAAGATTATGGATAATATTGTACATGTTGCATGTACACAGGGGCAGTTCTGCTTTTGTGTGTGTTATACTTGAGATATTGCATTCACTTCTGCAGCCCAAGAAAACAATTGTAACAAACGTGGAGACGCTGAATGCGAAGATAGATGTGCAGCATGTCCTTGATCCCTCCCTGCGCTCTGCTGGTAATATAGGTGACTGCCACTTCTTGTCGAGCCTGAAGGTCCGTGCCAACTGCGCCTTAACATTGTGTTCAGATCTGCCATATTGGGACAACAATGAAGAGCCTATAAGTTCAGAGCAGTTCAAAGTGCGACTACCATTTATTCCAGGTACAATGCATGTATATAGAATGTGTTATCAGTACACATTGTTACTTGACTATGGACTCTGATCATTGTAGTATGTGACAGCTCTGACTAAAATTTTCCTCTCCACGAATTGTAACACAGTTTTGTTTTCTGCCGGTATGGATATATTTAGAATAATATCAAGAATGGACTAAGTGAGACGTTGCATAGATCAGTATCTGTCACTGATGGTGACACATGGCAGGCAAGAGAATCAGTATGTCTTACTGAGATCAGCATCAAAGGGTTCATTAGGTGCAACGTAAAGGCATACAAAGGATCACTAATAATGAAAACCTTACAAATCCAATTTGAATCTGTTTGCAAATGAGGTATTGGTGGACAATAACAGACACAGGACTTGTATTCATTTATATCACATTACTCCGGTAATAGTATTTTTCATGGTATTGTCTTGTTCAAATAAATGTGTGACTTAACATTGTTACTAACTGTAAATATGAATGTGGATTAACAGCATGCAAGAAGGGCTTGTGTGTTAGTTTACTCAGTATTTTATAAACTCCTTTAGTCAGCCATTTAAAGCTTCCTAATGGATGATTTATGCAAACAACCTAGTGTTGTTAAGTGAGGTAATGAAATGAAGGATGTTACAGTGAATGTCACATAGCTCAGATAGGAAATAAATTTTTACAGAACTTTGGAAGACATAATCCTTCACCCTTATTGGTCATGTGTCATTGCCTAGATCAGCTCTAGTTAATGTGAAGCAGGAACGGAACAGAACAAGTTTTCTTAGCTGGTGTTAGTGTACGAGATGCGATCGGAAAGTTTCAAGACTGTGCGGGCGAACGGGATGTAGTATGAGCTTCTGCCTTTAGGGGGTGCGGCCTACATTTATAGTGAATCAGTGTGCCAGCCGGCATTATCGTGCCACCGGGTAAAAACCCATTTCCAGTTAATAATAAATAAACCTTCACCCTTATGGTCATGTGTCATGGCCTAGATCAGCTCTAGTTAATGTGAAGCAGGAACGGAACAGAACTAGTTTTCTTAGCTGGTGTTAGTGTACGTTGGTCAGGTCGTACAAATATGTTGATTGATAGCTTGTGAAGATGGTGATTACCAGTGGTGAGTGAGAATTTTGTAGGAGACACTTATCACCTGTTTGAAGATGAGTACTTCAGCATTTTCCAGAGAGGAAATCCACAAAATTCTGTCTACATACTTCTTAAATACAGGTTGAGAATGTTACCACTATACCAGCCTGCTTGATAGGTGAACTGAATGTCATTATTTGCACATAAATGAAATGTATGAAAGCTTTTATTGGGAAGTCTGAAATGAAAGACTACTTCGTAGACCTAGTTGTAGATGGAAGGATAACACCAAAATGGTCTTAGGGATTTTTTTTATTTTTTAATCTACATTCCTACGGATTGGTTGCCATCCCATTACGGGGTTAGTCTTGCGAAGATACTACGGTGGCCTTGCCTTCCGTGGCCAGTCTTTAGCCAACAGACTGGAAGAGAAAGGATGCGGACAAGCATCTATCCCTTGAGTGGGATTCGAACCCACGGTCGCAGCAGTCAGGCACACGAGGATCATGCCTCAGACCGCATGGCAATTGCGGCCGGCTTGTAGGGAATTAGGGTGTGGAAGTACCTGAATTCAACTGGCCCAATAAATTTCGTGACAAATTAAACAACTATTAACTGTTCAAAAATGACTGCACCGTGGATGCATGTAAATGATGTATTGTTTGGCTTTGTCAATGTTGCAGATTTAAAGGATAAAGGGATCTGTCCAGTGTTTTCACAGTTCTCATTCACAAAATGGTCTCTAGATGCAGAAGAAGATGAAAATGATCCTGTTGCAAAGGGTGCAGCAGGTTTATTAGAATCTTCTGAAGATGATGATTTTGCTTTTGATGTAAATGCAGTTCCAGAACCAATACCAACTGAAGAGACTGAGGCTCTAGTTGATCATTTTGAAGGTAGAATTCTGTATTTCGCAAAGTACAAACAAAACAAAAAGAAAATGCAGGAAAATTTGATGAGTGTGTCATGACCAACAGTTGGACCTGATGTATAGGGCAGTCTGTGGCTCAGGGATTAAATATTTTCGTCTAGCAAACACTTGTAATGGATTTCTTAAAAAAAATGACTTCAGTCATATACTTCAAACAGAGGAGCAAACTTATGGAAATGCAATATTCAAAATAAGGTGCAAGGTGCCTCTTCTAAAATGAAAGTGAACATTTGTGACTTGGTTAAAGAAAAGCAGTGTCGGTTTCAGATTACTGGCGATTTGTTTAAACTGCTCTGTATGAGAAAGTTTGGTTAATTGCTATAATTAAGTTAATTATAAAAAAATAATTTTAGATGTTGTATTTTCTCAAATACCTCACAATTTTTTTAAAAAATAGGAGTGACCAAGAATTGGGGGGCATGCCTTACATTTTGATATATTGTGGATTACCAACCTAAGAGTATGACCGTCTGCTGCTGTACTATACTAAAATCCTAACCAGATTATTAATAAATATTAATGCTAGATATATAATGCAGGGATACAACATTGATGTAATTTGGGTGAAACTGGACACAAAATTGTATTGGGTAAAGGGGATTGTAGGTGACATGGCTTGTAGGCAAAATTTAGTAGAAGTGGTTCAGATGAAATTGTTGGAGGCAAAATGGTACATAGATTATATGGATCTAAAGTGTAGCCAAAGTGTCCAGACAGGACTGCAGGGTGTGAGTAGATTCACTGTGCATTTTATGCAATATTACCACCATATTTTCCAATAATTAATGTTATTAATTTTAGTCTTATGTCGGAGGAAATTCATATGAAATTATTGATGTATTGCAGTTTCTGGAGTAGATGAAGGCATGGATTCAGAAGGAGAGGATACAGGAGCACCAGTTGCATGCTGGCCAGTTCAAAGGGCACCTGCTGCAAATGTAGTTGATCTACGTAAACACCTTTCTGCAGCACCCAGCGAGTATTCATACTTCAGGGCAGGTGCCCTCGATTTGTGGGCTGGCCCCTCACACTGGAAAATTAAACCATTTAAAGGTGCAGAATTGTTTAGTTGACTGTGAGACTATTTGTTACGGAACTAACTTGCTGTCAGATTTGGCTTAAACTTTGCACTACCACATTAATGAGAAAAATTGTTATGCTTTCTTTGCACAATGTGGATGAAAGTAATGTTTACAGGAGAGATCATGTCTGAAATTATCTGCTCAGTAGATTTAGGTAAAATTGGGTATTTGGTGTGGTTGAGGTCTATACTGAATGCTCTTATTCAAAGGGTCTATACTGAAGGCTCTTATTCAAATTGTGTTTTGGTTTGTATTAGTTCAAATATAATCTTTACTTTACACAGGCACTAAATGCAACATTATAAATTCTCTCCACTGGCTCATTTTAAAGAAATTAGTATAGGACATTAAATATAGATTACATTAAAATTGAAACTTTTATTTCAAACATTATTGAAGTTGGTTAATATTTAATGAAATAGAAGGGAAAATAATCAGACTCTGTGCTATATATCTGTACTGCTATTAGGTTTCCAGCAGTGGATTAGTATTTACAGGGCCAGTGAAGTTCAGGAAAAATATGCACTCTTTTTCGCTCTTGTTTTGTATACCATGCTGTTTGGCATTTTGGAAATCAGATGGGATGAATAACAGTTCTTGAACAGAATAGTCATTTTCTTCATTTATTCTTCTCATAATTTCAGAATGAACCTTATTTTTGTTCATTATTTCCAGATATATAAATTTTGAATATAAATTTAATTTTGTGTGGCTTTTCTTATGTTTATGCGAAGGTGTGGACCAGCATAGGAACAGTGCTGCTTCTGCAAACACAGCTGGAGATGAACCTCGATCAGCTTCAGCCTGTAAGAAGCAGAAGCAAAAGAAGGAATTTGTAGTTGAGTTTCTGAGAGAACACAACAGCGATGCATTTATTCTAGAGACGAATCCTCAGAAGCTGACACTAATGAAGCGAACAATGCAGAAATTGTGGAGTTGCTAACGAAGCGAACAATGCAGAAATTGTGGAGTGCAGACAAAAATACCCTCCCTCCTGATGTACACTTTGATGTTAAATGCTTCTCACAGTAAGTTTAGCAAATTGCATGACTACAAGTTACTGAACAGATTGGTGCAGTCACTGCTTAATTTTTTATGTGGGAGGTTATCAGTTTGATCCAGTTGGGCTTATAATCTTTCCTTCTTATTTGATGCTACATAATATTTGTACAGCAAATGATGTCATTAAATGATCAAAGAATCATTCAGTTCAAATATGCTTCTCAGCACTGTGTTATTAAATACTTGGCATTTGAAACTCCACCATTAAATAACTTATAAATTCAACTTGCTGTTACAGCCTGGCTCTTTTTCTTCTACTTCCCCTCCTCACCCCTTTTTGGATGTATTGTGGTTAGATTTCTTCTATGAAGTCACAGTGGAAATAATTTGTATTTTATGTGTTGGGATAGGATAAATGGCTTCAGTATGTTTTAATAAGAAATCCCTTTCCAGAGTATCAGAGCATTGTTTACTGAATGTAAGTGCCTTCTCTTGCCATGTTGCCCAGTTTGCCTCTGAACAATGTTGACAGTCCAGTATCATGAAGTGAAGTGTGTGTTGAGGAGAATGGCTGTTGCTGTATGTTGTATTGCTGTTTCCTTAAGAACAACAATCTGCTGTGAATGTCTGAAGACCATAGTTCATTTTCAAACTCTGTGAGGTCATAATCCCAAACTTGCAGTGTAGTGGAGCAGTTTATTATTAAGAATTCTAAACTTGCAACATAGTGGAGCAGTTTATTATTAAGAATTCTGCAAACTTATAGGTTGGAGCTGAGGAAGGTGGTTTGTGTGAGTGAACATCCTGCCCCATACGAGGGCGATGAGCCGTCTTCTTACGATTATGAAAATGATCTTGACACTTCAGAATACTGTCCGAACGTTGCTTTAGTAAGTACCCTCAACTGCTTGCAGCTTTCTAATACTGTACAGAATGTCATAGTGTGTTACTTTGTATTCAGTAAGTTACTGGTTTGAATCTCAGCTAGGAGATCAACTATCTTAATTGCGGTATTTTGTGTTGTACAGAATGATATGGATGCTGCTGATGATGGTCCAGTTGATATCTTGTTAGCAAGTCAGCATCAGGATGTACATAACAGCTTAACAGCAGATGGGTGCAGGGACTTGGATACATTTGCTGGAGACAATCTGGTAGCACCTCCAAGCAAGGTTAGTACAGTGCTCCATCATAACATAATTCACAGATTTTACATTGTGCCTAAGCTCCACTGCATGGGGGTCTGAAAGAACATCCACATATTTTAGTCCTTGGAACGACATGGCGAAGAGCCGTTATTTTCACACTCCAGCCACTTTGCTCCCTGGGAAAGATCTAATAGCACTTTAATAGGAGGCTGGATGGAGATGGAAGTGTGGAGGGAGGAAACTGAAATTGACAATTTCTCAGACTTTTTCAATACCAAGGCTTCTGTGTTTAGTCTGTTAATTATTCCATATCGTGAAAAACAAAAGAGTATACAGTATCAGATTAGTTACACCAAATAACCAAAGCCAGTACAACATGATGGCTATGTTGAAATCGGGCAAACATGACTGTCGAGCAAAGTAAGAGACTATCTTTGTTAATGTGTATTATGTTAATTTACGTGTATGTAACTGAATTTGTCACTTTGTTTCAGGTGGCAAGAATTTTTATTCCATATGCAATGAGAGCTAAGAAGGTGGATATGAAGAAGCTTAAACATGCTATATGGAGCATTTTAACCAAAGCAGACAGTCATAAGGTGAGGAACCATCTGCACGCATGAACTAGCAAATAGAAACTGTTGCATGAAAGAAAACCTCTGCAAATGATACAGTAATGAAATATCCAACCACAACTGATGGCATGAAGATGCTAGTGGTGTTTTTAATATCATAACTACCGACATTTACATCAAACAAATATTGTGTTCATTTTGTGTCTGGGTATAACAGTGTCAAGGCTTTGAATACTAAGATGTTTCAAAAGAGTCTGCTGCTTGCTGTTTCAGGATCAGGGTGACTGAAGAAGGAAGTATTAGTTTATTCCAAAACGTACTTTATTCCTTGACATTTGAATACCCATACAACAATCCAATGAAGAGCAATAATCACGAAAACCTGAAATGACAATTCTGTGATGTTAATTGAATTATAGTTCCTTTTCTTGTTACAGGACAAGGATGATAATGACATCCTGCAAGTAGAACGTCCTGTTACCTTCAAGAGCATGTATACTGCACTGCCATCAAGACTGTCTTCAAAATTATTAGAGAATATATGTGCACCCCTGGTTCTTGTTGCCTTGCTGCATCTTGCTAATGAAAAGACACTTCACATTGTGGGAAATGAAGATCTTAGTGACTTAGTAATTACACAAGGATAGTAATTACTTGGCTATGCTTGTTGTATTGTTGTGGCACTTGTTACATACTTTACTTTTTAAATTTCTGGATGTGGAGTTAATAGAATCTGGTTTGGCACCATGAAATGTGTTTGTTATGGCATGTCTTGAAAATAAATAATTATAATGGTTTGGATCCTAACCTAGTTTGTAATTAGACAAGATAAGGTACAGACTAGTACCGATCTGTGCTTTGTATTTTATTTTGATGCACATTTTTTATTTGTTGGCAGTTTGACGTATTTGTAGTTGTTTTTTACATTTGATATCACTTTTTTAATCTGTAAATGTAATTGTGGGGGAAAATACAGTTGGGAACAGGCAGGTTCGATCCGTCGTTCCCAAAGCTGCTACCATCCGTCTCCTATCGTCTCTTTGTGTTGTTTCCAGTTTGTTTTGTATAGAACTTTAGAGATTTTCATTCTCAACAAAATGTTTGCCATTTTTAAACTAAAATGGTTGGAACTTTGAGGCACAGATGACCCATTAAGGGTGACAACCAATAGAACTTTTCATTCAAAAGAACATGTTTCTCTGTGTCCTCACCATTTTACCAGTTATCCAAAGACTTCAGCACTCCAGCATGCTAAATAACTACTACAGTATTGATTGTCAAGGCATGTGGTACTTATAGTTACCATTGGGCTTGGCTTTTAAAGGGTCAAATAATAGGCACAAGTAGCTTAGAAGTTGACATACAATTTAGCCCACCATGTTATAAATTTTATAGCTTGGAAGTTGACATGCAATTTAGCCCACCATGTTATAAATTTTATGACAAAATTATTCATGAATTCTTTCAGAGTGTAATTGTACAAAATAAAAAGTCCTGCTCAAAATGCATAGGAAGTCCATTACATTTGCGAAGTTGCAGCAGTATGGCTGAATTTCTTGCTGAGAATAATCCTTGTGGACAGAGTATCCTTCATCTTGTCTCAAGAGGGAAAGTGATTATTGCGGAACTCCTGCATCTGAAAGATTATATTCCACCAGTTTTCAAGTAAGTTGATATGCATTCTTTGCATGAAGTGTGCCTGTCCACATGTTTTATTTTGAAATAGCTCAGGAGATTTCAATTAAATTGATGCTGGAAACCTTCACAAAATTTGCAGAGTAAATATGATTTCCATCCATATCAATTGTGTGTAACCTCCTCTTCGCATTTTGTTTATCATTCTTTATCTCCTTTCACAAAACTGGGTCTCATAGAACAAACCTGGGGGGGGGATAAAAAGAAAGAAAGAAAAAATAGTGTGCACACCAAACGTGAAAATTGGTCATTTGGTTCAGAAGTTGAAAGTGAGGGACAGAGAGACATACACACACAAACATACTCAATACAGAGAAATTTGTCAAGCTTATTTTCATTTAATTGTGGAGAAGAAAGGCTAACATTTAATACGAATATGTTCATAATTTTGATTATTGATATGTTTAAGTCACTGCCCTACAGACTGGTTTCAGTTCCCGGTGGAGTCAGGGATATTTCTTTTTTCTGCCATGTCCAGACTAGCTCAGGGATTCATCTGGAA